AAGCGTTCTAGAGAAGTTATCGGAGTGGCCAGTCCGTAACTTTCCTCTTAAAGCCGAAAGAACCTAACGACAAGCTGGATTAAATCTGTTGCATGTTCCACCTGCTGCAACCGTTCCTTCAGAATAAAAGCTGAACCATCACGACCCTTCAGGGTCTTGCTGATGCCAATAAGCTGTCGTGACCTGGGAGTATCTCAAGACGGGATTGGTCGGCAACTGAGGCTTTGCGGCTTCGGTTCCAGACAAGGTCCAATCTGGACTTCAACACCTCCTGATCTAAACGGGGACTTCCGCTGGGTACGTAGACCGACAGATGGCGTCTCAATGTGTGTTATAATCTCCAACCAAAGCTTACAGCGAAACACCATTTCACTCCCATCAGAACTAATCATTTCTCCGGACTTGCTGGTTCTGAACATATTCACACATACACCATTCTCAGTCTTACTTCACCTTAGTTCATCATACACATAGTGTTTAAAGTTAGTCTTGTTTAATTTGTTTAGAAATAAATCTTTTATCCTTTTAAACCTGACTCTCTCTCTTTCTTGGAGTTGACTTGAAGTGTTGCTCAATCCCTGCAATAAAAAGATTCAATCTTCTGGTTAAATTTACTCAAAGATCCAGTAAGGTGATATTTCATATTTTATGATATTTCACATTCTATGGTTTTTAATTTAATGTAAGAACATCTTCGCCACAGAAATCACAGTAGAACTTTTTAATAAAAACTCTACTAATGTTTGGAGAAAAAAGAATGCTGAATTGCATCCAAAGAACACTGTACCCACTGTAAGACACGGGGGTGGAAACAGCATGCTTTGGGGCTGTTTTTCTGCAAAGGAACCTGGACGACTGATGCGTATAAAGGAAAGAATGAAAGAGGCCATGTATCATAAGATTTTGAGTGAAAACCTTCCATCAGCAAGGGTATTGAACATCCTACATTTCTGGGTCTTTCAGCATGACAATGGGCCCTAACACACCACCTGGCTAATGAAGGAGTGGCTTCATTGGAAGCATTTCAAGGTCCTGGAGTGACCTAGCTTTATCATTGCCAAGAGAGTAAGTTACTGATTCCATTTTTCCTCAGTTTATTTGTCTGTACCAGAACATAACATAAATACACTTGATATTAGCTTTTATATAAACATAAATACTCTTACCAGTGAAGATTATTACTATAAATATGACCAGATGCTTCATTTTACACTAAACAAAAGGCAGATAAATTAGGCTGAAGTGTTGCTGTTTTACCTTCTTCTGCAGCAGCTGAAGGAAGTGCTGCTCCTTTTATTGTAACACAATTCTGAGTTCCTTTCTTCACCTGCAGGTAAAAGCTGCAACTACAGTTAAAGTTCCATTGAAACAAATCTTATAAGACCAAACCAGCAGCTTCCTGAATGGGATTGGATCTAAACTCCTGTCTGTTTTTAGCTTTAGTTTTGTTGTTGTGTGAAATCATCAGCTATATTCCACTCATTTTATTATAGACCACAAATATATATTTAGCTATTTACTGCACATGAATGTACTTAAAAGGAAGCCCAGGGATATTTTGAGGACTTGACTCTTGGATTCCTGCAGCTCTTAGTTTGCTGATGTTTGCAATGAGTTGTTTTCTGTTTAAACGACACAGATTGTGTGCAGGGGAGCTGGTGGGACTTTCAGCTTCACATCTCAAAGATTCAGACTGGGGTTTGTTTAAAAATCCAATAAGGAGGTTCTTATAAAGGGGATGTTTTGTGAATGATGTAGCGTTGTTGTCTGCCCTTAACAGCTGCCCCTTCACACAGTAACAGGGTGCATGAATCACCAAGGTCGGGTGCTTGTTTCTAAATGTTTACATTCCAGGAAAAGAGACAGAAGAAGGAAGAAGAACACTTTTCATTAATTAATCAAAGAACTTTATTTGTAATAAAGCTAATCAAAACATATGTTGATCAATAATAATCAGGTGAATGATCTGTGAAATCAAGATGTCATGATTTATGTGTTTAATGAATAAACAGAACTGTGCACCAGACATACTGATCCACAGAACATAAGAACGCATGACACATTGTTCTCATCCAATCAGAGCTTCCGTCTGTTGCAGGGCAGAATCTGGGCTGTTTACCTAAATTGTCCACGCCGATTTGCTAAGATTTATAAACAACTAAGTTAATAAAACAGGGCAACGCCATTTTAAGTTCAGTTCCCTCTGAGTTCCAACGGAGTTACATCATAGACTCAACGTAGTTTCAACCAGCTCTCAAATCATCATCGCTAAAGGAGATTACAGTCTGGCCAGCTGTGTTTTTCTACTTTTAAGCTGACAACTGTCAAGCTGGAAATTCTGTCATTTGAACAACAAGACGACGGTTCCTTCAAAATAAAAGCTGAACGCGCTGAGACCTGCCACTACTACCGGAGCTATCCGTAGACGGGTTTTGTCGTGCTGCAACACTGTTTCATCAGTCCAGTACCAAGGAGGTCCGGGGACCTGACATTCCTGATCTGAACGCGGGAGTCTCCAAAGGTACGTAGATTCGGCAAGATGGCGTTTCATGTCATGAGCTTCTGAAGCCCTCGTGGTTCCTAGTCATAACATCAGACAACCAGATCCGCCTGGAGATTCTGAACACACACACACACACACACACACACACACACACACACACACACACACACACACACACACACACACACACACACACACACACACACACCAACACTTCAACATTCAAATCCATATGCATCCATCATAGAGAGTTAGTCCTGGGACATTGTTTGAATTTATAATTATAGAAATTAAAGATTCTTAAACGATCCCAACTCTCTCTTTTCTTGTCTAAAACTCAATACAAAGTGTTTAAATAAAACTCCCTGAAGTAAAAACAACCTCTTCTGATTATAATATCTGGACCTAATAAAAGTGTAAGAATATACAACTATATTCCACTACAATGACTTCAGTAAATTGAAGCATTTCAGCTTATTTCTGCTCAAAAACCCAATGAGCTGAACATTGTACCTTAATGTTTGAAGAAGACAAAACAACATTTTAATTATTAGTAATCATTAAGGGACCTACACTGCTGCTGCAGCAAGCAGGTCACACCGGTTGAGATAATGACATTAATCACAAATCTTATTATGATCAATTATAATCATCATTTGATAAAATAATTAATTTATCGTCGTCGTCTTCCTCCGCTTATCCGGGTCTGGGTCGCGGGGGCAGCATCCCAACTAGGGAGCTCCAGACCGTCCTCTCCCCGGCCACCTCCACCAGCTCCTCCGGCAGGACCCCAACGCTTTCCCAGACCAGATTGGAAATGTAACCTCTCCAACGTGTCCTGGGTCGACCCGGGGGCCTCCTGCCGGCAGGACATGCCCGAACAACCTCCCCAGGGAGGCGTCCAGGAGGCATCCTGACCAGATGTCCAAACCACCTCAACTGGCTCCTTTCAATCCGGAGGAGCAGCGGTTCTACTCCGAGTCCCTCCCGAATGTCCAAGCTCCTCACCTTTATTTACCGGTTGGTGATCAGTTGACAGCTCCGCTCCTCTCTTCACTCGGGTGTCCAAAACATACGGCCGCAGGTCGGATGATACGACTACAAAGTCTATCATCGACCTGCAACCTAGGCTGCCGTGGTACCAAGTGTACCGATGGGCATCCTTATGTTCGAACATGGTGTTCGTTATGGCCAAACTGCGGCTTGCACAGAAATCCAATAACGAAACACCACTCGAGTTCAGATCAGGCGGGCCGTTCCTCCCAGTCACACCCCTCCAGGTCCAGCTGTCATTGCCCACGTGAGCATTGAAGTCCCCCAGCAGGACAATGGAGTCCCCTGATGGAGCACTATCTAGCACTCGTCCCAGGGACTCCAAAAAGGGTGGGTACTCTGAACTGATATTTGGCCCATAAGCACAAACAACAGTCAGGACCCGTTCCCCGACCCGAAGGCGCAGGGAAGCTACCCTCTCGTCCCCCGGGGTAAACCCCAACACACAGGCAGAGATTCTTGGGGCTAACAAAAAGCCAACCCCAGCCCTTCGCCTCTCACCCGGAGCAACTCCAGCAAAGGAGAGTGTCCAACCCCTCTCAAGGACTTGGGTTCCAGAGCCAATGCTATGTGTTGAGATGAGTCCGACTATATCTAGCCGATACCGCTCAACCTCTGCCACAAGCTCCTGCTCCTTCCCCGCCAGTGAGGTGACGTTCCATGTCCCAAAAACCAGTTTTCTTGTCCAGGGATCGGACCGCCAAGGCTCCCGCCTTGGTCTGCCACCCGATCCACATTGCGCCGGACCCTTCATGTTCCTCCTGTGGGTGGTGGGTCCACAGTTGGATGAGCCCATGTATCCGGTTCGGGCTGGACCCGGCCGGGCCCCATGGGCGAAAGCCCGGCCACCAGGCGCTCGCTCTCGGGCCCCAACCCCAGGCCTGGCTCCAGGGTGGGACCCCGGTAACCCTCCGGGCCGGGTACTCTGACTCTTTGACTGTACTTCCATGAAAGATCCTGTGAATTAATTTATCAAATTAATTAATTTATCAAATTATATAAATGTATCAAATGTTAATAAATAATATTTCGATAAAGAAATATAATTTCATAATTTAATGAAATTATCAAAGGATAATTACAATCAGTTCTAATCATCATTTGATACATTATTTATTTATGAAATTATATTAATTTATCTACAGCTTATTCATTACTTTTTTGATAAATTAATATCATTTGATAATAAAATGTATTTTTCAAATTATATTTATTTATCAAAACTTGATTCATGACTTTTTTGATAAATAAATATAATTAGATAAATTATATGTATTTATCAAAAGTTAATTCTTGACATTTTGATAAATTAATATAATTAGATAAATTAAGAAATTTTTCTAATAATATTTTTTATCAAAAGTTACTTCATTACTTTTTTGATAAATTAATATAATTTGGTCAATTAATTGATTTATCAAATTATGATGGTCATCAACTAACTAATGGTAATCATCCTTTATTTAGGAAGATAAAAACAACACCCTTTGATGACATCATCACTGTCTACCCTTTGATGACATCATCACTGTGCACCCTTTGATAACATCATCACTACTGTAACACTACTAGGTCACACGCAGACACATCACATCTACTGTGAACACCAACAGGGGAGGTCTTGATAAACCACTCTCAGCGTCTGACGACATGCTTTCCCGTTTGTTTAAAAATAAGTACCAACATTGGTCTAAGGAATCCCTTTTAGAAGAACTACAAAAGTTTAGCGATGAAAACACTGAACTGAAGAGAGACATTGTTAATGCCAAAGTCAAGCTGCAGGAAAATATTGCAACTGCAGTGACAGCTGAAACGTCGGCCTTAAACACAAAATTATCAGATGTAAATAGAGAATTTGATCGGCATTTGGCAAACGCATCAGAACTAACCAAAAGATACAGCAGGCTTGAAGATGATTACAGAGACATTAGCGATAAATGTAGAAGAGCTGAAAAGAAACTCAACGAATTCAAATCCACCCATGAAGCCAATGAGAGTTTGAAGTTGGAAAATTGCCGTTTAAAATATAAAATTTCAGAGCTTAATCGGTACACTGAAAGACTTGAACAACAAAAACAGGATTTGGACAGTAAAGTGCAGAATCTCACCGATGATTTAAAAGAGAAGCGAAGACAAGTGGAGGAATTAGAGTCATCTTTTCAAATAGAAAAGTCGAACTACCACAAGGCAATGACTGAGGAGAAACTAAGACAGAATGAAACTAAATTTCACCATTTACAGGTTAAAGTGAGAGATCTTGAAAATGATTTGATGATATATAAGAAACAGACAGCTGAAAAGGAGGAAACAATACAAGTTTTGACTGAGAAAAACTTGGATCTGACAGAGAAAAATAACTTTCACAACGATTATTGTGCAAGTAAAATGAAACTCATCCAGACACAGAAAGACGATGAGATGGTCAATCTGAAGTCCACGTTGACAAGCTGTCAGAAAAAACATCAGAATCTTCTCAAGGAAACAGAGACATATAAAGAACTCATAACACGCCTCAAAGCCAATTGGTCAAATGCTCAAGCAGAAATTCAGCGATTAGAGATTGAACTCAAGCAACTCAGAAACACCACTTCAGTGCAGATGAACCAAAAGAACGAGGAGGCAAATCAGCTTAAAACGAAATGTTCCACATTGCTTCACCAGATCCAGCAAGTTAAAGAGAACTTAGAGCACTCAGAAAACAAATTCTTGTTTGCTCGAAATGAAAGCAGAGAAACCAAAAACAAAATGAAAAATATGGAGAAACAGAATAAGGATTTAGCCCGTAAACTCGAGGTTAAGGAGCGGCGACCTACACTGCAAAGAGAACAGCTACAAGAGGCAAAACTCACAGTAAAAGACACTAAAAAGTGTGAAGTACATGAAATTAGAATTGGGGAATCAGAAAATAAACGCACGAAGAGAAACTTGAAGCTTTATGCGAAAAATCCTGACCAAACAACGCATCATTCCGTCGACCGCCTTCCATCTATTCATGAAAACAGCTCAAATAAAAAACCTGTCCCAAGATACCCTGGACCCTATAAGGTCCTTCCACCTATTAACAGCAGTGAGTCAGGTCCAGTAGACTTCCCCTTCCCACGACCGCCTAAATTGAAGAAGAAAGAGGGCATGCTTATGGTCAATTTATAATCATTCAACATAGAAACAAGTCATGAGACTGATGTAAATGTTTCACCCCCACAAATTATATATCAGAACGCCCGGCTCGACCATGGGAAGTGTTATTTCTTTTCTAAGTGATCGGATTAACTGTAGGGAAGTTATTTGCAATACATCGTAACATCTTTCATTTTAAGTGTACGCCACTCTTAACTTTCATAACTATTCAATTCAGTATGTACATGTGTAGATGGCAGGCCAGCTTAGAGGCATTTTTACGTGAGCATGGCCATTAACTTGTGCCAGCAGGCAGGTCCCTTTTTTAATTTCTTCAGGGATTTTTAGGTTTTATTTTGTTAGCTTTTATCACAGAGACACAGCTCTATGGCTGATTTACACTTCCCCGTCTGCGACAGTGCGGAGACACGCAACACCGTTATGCATCGGTGTAAGGGCTCTCCGTTGGGCTCACAGAGGGTGACGGAGACATGCCCAAAATGTTTAACATCCGTCGAAAATGACGGACAACGCAAGCTTGTGATTGGTCAGGATGCCGCTTACCTGTATATTGGTCACCAGCACCGCTGTAGCTCAGTTAAAAAGTAAACAGATATTTAGCAGCAGATCCAGAACAAACTGTAGAATGCATCGTGGAAAAAGTCAGAAAATAATAACATTTATTCACCCGTGAGTGCAGGAGTACAAAATGCGGAGCAAATGTGGATGGAAACTACGGGAAATGTGGGTTTGGAGGTGAGGATTGCTGTCACGTTGAGAACAGGAGGTTTGGACCCAAAATGCAGAAAATCCAGACTACTCAGGCAGGAGCGGTTGAAAAAGTAAAATCCTGTGAAGTTAAGGACGATGAACCGCTCTTAGTCTGACCCCTTTCCCAAGTCTGGTTTGTCATGGGGGCTTTCCTGGGACAAAGCCTCCAGACAACAGGATCACCACGATAAGGTGGCGATTCAGCAGAAGGGGTTTTATTTCATATAAATTTATTCAAGAATATAAATGTAAAGTATAAATACTATTTTACAAACATGTCAGTACGTTATAATGTATAACTATAATTATTGATGAGTTTAAAAATAAAACTGCGACAAAATTCTCAACAATCTGTCCCAAACAATCAGAAAACTGTAAGGCAAAACAGTGTGTATCGAATGGAGTCACAAGTGGTTGTACTGGTCTCCGGGGTAACCAAGAGTGATGTCATAAAGTGCTGTCCTTTGATCTCTGTAGTTACCAAGTGATGTAGTACACATTCTAGAACATTCGTGCTGCTACTGCTGCTGTTGCTGCTGCCGGCAGGGCCCTTGTTGCTATGCATTTGGTGGGAGTTTTGACATTAATCGTCTTTATTAATAACTCTTATTGTTCTGTGTGGCATTTTTTACATTAGCAAAAAAATGATCTTGTGCCAGGTGGCAGGCCCCTTCTTAAAATTTCTTCAGGATTTTTCTAGTTTTTATTATTCTTTTTTCGTATGCACTAATGTGGCTGGAATAGAAGCATGCACCCCCAAAAATCGTACATCAAAAGGACTGGCTTGGTCGGGAGAGTGCTGGTACTATTCTTAGCATTTTGAGTTGCCATGGCAACGTGATAAACCATGCAATGTTAATAGACAACTTTTTGTTGTACCTTTAGGGAATGCTCTTGACTTATGTTTATGTTTATGTATTTAGCAGGCGCTTTTGTCCAAAGCGACTTACAAGTGACTCCTGTATAATCTTTGATGCTGGCCATTGGCTACCCATTTGATCACGTGATCACGTTTGAGCGTGTTGATTTTGACGGAGCTTCCAGAAAGTTTTCTCAAACACCATCATCTTGATCTGAGAGCTCCAGAGAGTTTGGTGTCTTTTTTCTCTCTCTCTCTCTCTTGGGTCTGTTTTTGAGCGAGAGGGTGGTCGCTGACGCTGCAGAACCACAAAGGCGGAGCTGCACCAGAGTCAGCCCCGCCCATTCACGCAAACAGCCTAGCCCACTGACTTCTTCTGTTTTTTTTTTGTTTTTTTTTATTTTATTTTATCGCAAACTAACCTGACCCACATGAATTACGGCTGTTACTAGTTTACAAATGTTAATGCTATGTTCTATGCTCCAATTAAGCAAGATGAATATAACTTGCTACATGACAAAGCCTGAATATATCCCAAAAGGAAAAGGTTTCTTTCAGTAAATATCTGCCCACAGCTAGCCTAGTGAACTAGACCAAATTCTTGCTTTGCAAAGTTTGCAATAATAAATAAATAATAAATAATACATTTATTAGTCTGGCTTGCCAGGCTAGCCCACAGCCGCTCCAACAAAAGCGGCCTACAACAGCATTTAAGGAAAATTGTTTAGTCGGCTCTGGTAGTGCAGTGTTGACATGAATATACATGTATAGTCCGGTGGCAAGATAGTCAAGCTTAAGTTCTGCTTTCCCCTCTGCTGATGCTAGTTCGACTCTCGGTGGGCCCTGCAGCAATCTATTTAGCCAGCTGAAACATTCAATTTGTTTATATTTTAGTTGTAATGTTTATTTTCAGCAAAAATATTTATGTCTCTAAAAGTTCTTTGAATTTGGTCGTTCCTAAACAGCATTTTAGTTGAAACTGTGCTCACAAATGGCCTCACACTGGCTAAATAAACAAATAAATGAATAAAAACAAACACATTAGTCATTATATTTTAAACTGTATACCAATAAAAGGTTAAAAACATAGTACTGGCAAGTGTAGCTAGAAAAGAAGAAAAAAGTTTGCGCCGCTACCGGGAGGCGTACCTGCGCAAAACTACATACCAATCTGACTCCATATCCACTTCACCACTTCATCTGATAACAAGCTAGTGGCGTCACATGTAATTGTGCTATCCAGTATGTCTTTGTAGATGGGATGTACGGTTTTTCGGCGGTGTCTTTGTAGAAGTCATTTCAGAAATAATTTGTCAGAAAATTTACAGAATATCCAGATTTGAGAACCAAGACCAGACCCGCTTCGGGGGAGGAGACCAAATTGAAGCTGAGATGGGAGGAAAATGTGTGAATGAGGCCAAAAATGGCTTTGGCGTATATGAGGAAATGACAATATAACATGATAAAAAGTTCCAAAAGTTAGATTTTTAATTATATGGAACCTCTACAAAAACGGTTCAATTAACTTCTCAACTCCGTCCTCAATCTTGCATTTTAGATGACATTAGCTATAACACCAACTTTGGTTCCAGAATGCTATCAAGTCTGACAACTGGAAGGAATTGGACTGACTCTGATGGAATGGGCAGGGCTGACTCTGGTGCAGCTCCACCTTCTGGTGTAGCTCTGCCTTTGTGGTTCTGCAGCGAGCACCACTTGTTTTGAGCTGATGTTGGAACCAAAGTACTTATTTGCTTAAATAGTGTCGAGGTGAGTGGACCATAATTATATCTGTCTCTGTCATTAAAAGCTATTTTTGATGCTTATATTGCTGTTTACATGTAAACTAGAGCTGAGGAAAATGATCAAATAATTGATGCTTCTAGATGCGGACATAAACGATTCTGAATCATAGAAGAAACAAGCCGGGTCGCAATTTTCACATGATTAGGAGAAAGACCGCCGTGAGGCGCACCGCAAGTGCAGCTATTAAGGCACAGGCAGAGGAGAAAAAAAGAGACAAGTTATCCAACACCGTGCACATTCCTGCAATGGTTGATCGCAGCAGAACCTGTGGCTATCATAAGAAGAGGAAGACGATAGTTTATAACACCTCTCAAAATTAAAATCATGAGGGGCTTCACAAAAACAAAAAACAAAATTAAATTAAGTATAAAAAGATTTAAAAAATTATTAAAAATATCCTGCTCCTTGAACCGTCACCTTATCGTGGTGGAGGAGTTTGAGTGCCCTAATGATCCAAGGAGCTATGTTGTCTGGGGCACTTTGTGCCCCTGGTAGGGTCTCCCATGACAAATTGGTCTTAGGTGAAGGGTGAGACAAAGAACGGTTCACAGGATCTTTCATGGAAGTAAATTCAAAGAGTTGGAGTACCCGGCCCGGAGAGTTACCGGGGTCCCACCCTGGAGCCAGGCCTGGGGTTGGGTCCCGTCAGCGAGCGCCTAGTGGCCGGGCTTTCGCCCATGGGGCCCGGCCGGGCCCAGCCCGAACCGGATACATGGGCTCATCCAACTGTGGACCCACCACCCGCAGGAGGAACATGAAGGGCCCGGTGCAATGTGGATCGGGTGGCAGACCAAGGCGGGAGCCTTGGCGGTCCGATTCCCGGACAAGAAAACTGGTTTTTGGGACATGGAACGTCACCTCGCTGGCAGGCAAGGAGCAGGAGCTTGTGGCAGAGGTTGAGCGGTACTGGCTAGATATAGTCGGACTCACCTCGACACATAGCATTGGCTCTGGAACCCAAGTCCTTGAGAGGGGTTGGACACTCTCCTTTGCTGGAGTTGCTCCGGGTGAGAGGCTGTTACGTGCAGCGCCCCTTTTCGGCCACAGGATGGCCTCAGCGGCCTTCTGCGTCGTCTGTCTCCAGGTGAACAGGTGTTGGTAATCCTCCTAATCATGGATCAGCTGTTAAAAGTTGGCCTCTTGCTCTCATTCAGGGAGAAGGTCCAAGGGTAGTGTAAATTCGCCAGAGTTTGCACTGTTCTCTTCGTTTGCTATTTAACTCGTTTTGCTCGGTAGACATCGGTGTTTGACTCATTTTGGTATTTGTAATTAAATTAGACACATTGGTAATTTGACTTCGGACCGGCTTTAGTCTCTCCTTGTGTGTAAATAGTATATTCTCGGTTGTTTTCTCCCCATCCCCTTCTGGGTTGGCGCTTTTGGTTTCTCCTTTTTCAATAATGCTCCTTTGGTTTTGTATATAGTATTGCCTTTTTAGTTCTTTATAAATATTTGTTTTGTAATAAAGATTCTTGTTTTTTTAAGCGACACTGCACTTTGTTTATTATTAATCTACACACAACTTTTATTACTCCCCTCCTCATCTCTCCTAGAGAGCCGGGACGTAATAATCTGGGGGCTCGTCCGGGATTTTTCCTTATTTACCACCTTTCCCGACATAATTTTAAGTGTGTGTAACAATATTAACTGTGTGTTTGTGGCCCTTAGAGGTGGAGCATGGCAACCTTTGACCTGCACGCATTTGTGGCGGCTCCTTCGCGCCTCCAGCAGAGGCTCATTATATTCACCTCTCCTGCCCTTTGATTACTGGTGACCTAAAGGTAGCCATTTTAGAGAAGTTACCGATTCAGGGAGTAGACATGATTTTGGGAAACGACGCTGCTGGTGGATTAGTTTTGCCTCCTCCTGAGCTCATCTCTCCTCCAGAAACCTGTGTTAACTCAGATTTACTGCCTGCCTGTGTCTTAACCCGTGCTCAGCGTAAGAAAGACTCAAAGATCTCACATGGTGATTCGGTGTTGTTCCCGCGGTTGGCTGATGACATCACCCAACCAGGTCCGGTCTCCAAGATGTGTCTGCCACTCTTCAGAGCCATTCAGGATGGTGTCCAAAGGCACTTTGGTGAGATGATGGAAGACCCTGAGCTGACTGCTGCTGCAATCCTTCTTCCAAAGTTCAAGACCATCTGGACTGAGAGGCACGATATCATTGAAGCAGGTAATATTTTATAATTTAATATCATACCTTAATCTGTTTCTTATTCATTTCAATCCTGTCAACATACTTAAAGTTCAATTATACGAGTCTGTCGAGACAAATTATAGTATTTGTAAGGTATGTATTACTAAAAACAATTCTTGTTGCATCTTCTATCAAAACTTAATTGCCAGATATATTAAATATGTGTTATGTATTTGTCATTCAACAGGTTTGATCAATATGAGAAGACATCTTGACCAGATGGCAGAGGCTGGGGCGGAGCAAGTCAAGCAACAGTCATCACATCCTGCCCTCATCTTTGCTTAAAAGTGCTTTTCAGTCCATCGGTCCCAGCGTGCTCTCTATAATTAATGCTTCTCTGGTTTTTCAGGGAAAAGCCATGGGCTTGTGACTATAACCTAATTTATGTTACTAGTTTGCAGTGTAACTGCCTTTGTACTTCAATATGCATATTTGTTCATTTAATAAAAAATGGCCATTTTGACATTTATACCCCATTGTCTTTTTTTAACTATTCAGAAGAGCCCGTCCTTGCACAGTCAAAAAGTAACTAAGTAACTTTTACTCTGACTACATTTGAAATAAGCTACTTTTTACTTTTACTTGAGTACATTTTGAGGCAGGTAATTTTACTTGTAATTGAGTAAAATTTCATGAAAGTAATTATACTTGTACTTAAGTACCACATTTTAGTACTCTTTCCACCCCGTTGATTACATATTTCTTCATCAAGTTGACGCAGTGATAGCTTGATCTTGTTGTATTGTTGTTGTGTCCCATTTTTTTCTTCTCTCTTTCTGCGGGTCTGGAAGCAGATTCTTGTTCATTATTGTTTATTTTGTGCTAACGTTAGCTTGTGGACATTGTGTGTGTGAACATTTCTGTGTCTGTGATTACTTTTCTTGTTGGTAAATTATCTTTTGTGTGCATTTTTATGCATTTTCACATAAAATCTCTTTCTGTTTTTACCTGAAAGCACATTGGGTTGGTTTAAGCTTACGTTGTGCTTTACTAATGGAGTGTGACTTGACTTGGTTTGTTTGGACACCTTGTTATAATTTCTGCTGCAGATTCTCTGCTGAGAGATCACTCACAAGAGGGCCTCTTCATTGGCGTCTTAATGCAGGCTCTAGAACATCACCGTGTGTTATCGTCACCATGAACAACCCCTGACAGGTGCTGACCAGGAGTATACCAAGTCCCCTGCAGAAAACCCACTGACTCGTTCATCTTGCCAGCAGCATGTCGGAGACATGGGTGAAAAAAATGTTACTCAGACGTCCCAACCTCTGGG